ATGCTGCTGCCGGCCAACGTCTTTATCGAGCGCGTCAACAACATCTCGCTCGTCCTCTTCGTCGTCGAAGCGCTGATCAAAGCGGTCGCGTTTGGCGTCCTACCGTACCTCGGCGACCACTGGAACAAGCTCGATCTGATCGTCATCATCTCAGGGTGCGCCTCAAACACTGCTGCTTTCTCTCACACTCGTCGCATGCATTAGGATCGTCGCGTGGGCCTCGGGCGGTCGCAGCGCCGTGGGCCAGCTGCGTATTTTGCGTGTGCTCCGACCGCTGCGCACGCTGCGAGCTTTTCCCGGTACAAGAATTGAGATGGCACTGGACGCTGGACGCTTCTTCTGTAGGCCTGCGCATCCTCGTCAATGGCGTCCTCGCGAGCTTGCCGCCGCTTCTCAACGCCGGGATGCTCCTCGGGTTTAGCTACCTCACGCTTGCGATCCTCGGCATGGAGTTGTGGCAAGACAAGTACCACGGCCGGTGTCGACTCACGCCATACCCCGTGCGACTCAACTTTGACCCGCTGCACGCGCCGGCCTCGGTCGGTAATGGCGTGTACCCGAACGCGTCGTACGTGGCCGCCGTCACGATTGATCCGTCCGCGTACAAGTGCAATAACCTCTCCAACAGCGACGTGTGGCGAGCGCCGACGCCGTGCTTTTGGCCACTGGACCCGACCGACACGCTCGGGCAGTACTGCGGCAGCCGCACGTGTCCGACACCCAACACCACCTGCGGCTCCAACTACGACCGGCTCGGGAACCCGCGCTTTCTGAATTTTTTCTCGGACGGCGCGCTGGTCTTTGACCTCATGGGCGAGCCGGACTATACGGCCAACCTCAACTTTGGCCTGACCTCCTTTGACAACATCTGGAGTGCGCTCGTCGTCGTGCTGCAGATCGTGACCGCGTCCGGCTGGATGGTGCTCACGCAAAATGTACGTCAATCTCTTGAACGTCTCGGGCTGAGGTGCGTGGTTGGTGTAGACCCAAGATGCGTATTCGTGGGTCGTCGCCGGCGTCTACTTTAACGCCTTTCTCTTCATCGGCATGTGCTTCCTCCTCCAGCTCTTCATGGCGGTCCTCTACACCGAGTTTGAGAAGGCGAAAACCAACCAAGAGCACCAGCTCTCGTCGCACACCGTCGTTGCCCGGCCGACCAAGTACAGTCACCCAAATGCCTCGTCGCATGTAAAATGGCGTGTGTTTAGAGTCATGGACGCGGCGGCCATGCGGCGTGTCGAGGCGCACCTCTCGGTGACAACGACGCCGTCGACACGGACCTGGTACCGCATACGGTTCCAAACGATGCACTTTGTCGGCTCGCGCGCCTTTCATCGATTGGGGCTCGCGGTGACGACGCTCAATGTGACGGTGCTCTCGTGCAACGCGCACGGCATGTCGGCGACGACGCAATATTGGATTGAAACACTCAACTTTTTCTGCCTCGTCTACTACATCCTCGAGACGCTCCTCAAAATGGTGGCGGCCGGCCCGTGGCGCTACTTTCGGTACGATGGCGTCCGTCGTGCACGTGTAACCGTTGGGTTAGGGACGGTTTTAACCGGTTTGACTTTGTCACGATCGCCCTTGGCATCCTCGACACGGTCGCGAACCCGCCCGAGATTGTCGACGGCAACCCGGGGCGCGTCTCGCCGTTCGCAGCCTTGCGCGCGCTCCGCGCCATCAAAATCGCCAAGTCGATCAAGCCCTTGCACCGCCTTTTGGTCGCCATCATGGACGCGTCGAGCGAGATTGGGAACTTCCTCGTGTTTCTGTTTTTGTTTATTTACATTTACGCGCTCATTGGCATCGAGCTCTTTGCGACGCGCCTCCAGTTTGACAGCAGCAACCGCCCGCTCCCATTCAACGGCTCGCATCCCATGTACCAGTCGCGCTCCAACTTTGACCAGATCGAGTGGGCCGTCTTTAGCGTCTTCCAGATCATGACGTACGACAACTGGCCCGCGGTACGAACCCCGCGACATTATACATATATGTTTAAACAATGATGTCTAGGCACTCTACAATGGGTGGCTCGTCGCGGGCTGGCTCGGCGTGCTCTACTTTTGCTCGATCATCGTGCTCGGCGTCTGGGTCGTCATGAATGTCTTCTCGGCCATCCTCGTCGAGTCGGTCATGGCCGGCACCAGCGCCCAATCGACCGACGACGACGACGACGATGTAGAGTCGGACTTGGACGACTTGGCCCCGACCTGGCGGTCCTGCACCGGGCTTACACGATGCGGGTGCGACGACTTCGACCGTCTTCTGTTTGT